CGTCTCTCCCCGAGAATTAACGGATCCATTGGACTTTGGTTGACTGTTGTTACTGTATTATCATTCTTCAAAAAGTTACCCTTCCATCGGATTGCTTTCTAATGCTTGACTGCCTCATGTGGAGGGGGAGGGTACTATAGGTGGGCCCCTGAAACTTCCCGGTCTTCCTTCTCTCATCCCAAAATTATGCCTTGTTTGAACTCTTGGTTTCGTTCCCCCAGCAACCGTGACCAATTTATCCCCTTCCTGAAAGGTGGTTCATCCCCTCATTATGTGCAAGGTGTCTGATAACAACAAAGGCCCGCCTACACAATTGGCTGTGTTTGGATTCACTCAACTAATTTAACCCCATTCAAATATAACCCAAAGGCTGCGTCGTGTTGATTAAATTACAAGTTGACTGAAGTTACTGGGTAGGTGCCCACAATAAAAGCTGCCCCCCCCCCCAAAAAAAAAAAAAAAAAAAAAAAAAACTCAACTAGAAAATAAGTTTTAATTGCATTGTATAAGAGAGTTTCTCTTCAAGAAATATCAATCCTCTTGAAGCAGTCCTTCTTGCTCTGATGACTTGGAAGAACGACTCCCGAAAGTGAGGAACATGACTCCGCACTAGTGTGGGACCTCGCAAGGCCCATCTTTCATGCACTCATCCTGGGAGTCATCTTCCTACATAATTCCCCCCAAAGCTATGGGAGTTTTTTTTTTTTTTTTTTTTTTTTTTTCGCAGACCTTGGGAGTTGTTGGACTAAAAACAGTCCACCAACTCAGGAGCCATGGCTGGACTGTGCAGGGGCTTGCAACCTGCTTTGGAACAGGTGTTGTCTCTTTTGGGGCGGGTCGAAGGCCGGCTTGATGGTAGGAGGGGTCTTGCCTCTTCCACCAGTAGAGTATTGCCCTGCTTCTTGAACAGGGAAAGACCTCTGGCTCTTGAGCTGCTGATCAGTGAGAGGTGAGAGGCCGTTTGGAAGCCATGCAGCTCAGAGCTCCCTCCATGTTCCCCCCACAGCTCTAGAGTCGGGGGACTGTTTGCGCCCATCCAACTCTCATGGTCAAAGCGAAAAAAAATCGAATAACTCACATCCCCTGTGGGGGAAATTAACATGATCAATCCCAGGGTGATCTCAGGACCATCAGGAGGTGGTCACAGGACCATAATGAGGTGGGACATCCCCCAAAATGTTTTTCCAACACTCTTTAGTGGGTTTCTCTTAAATAGGTCTGATTGGTATGCATTTTTTTTTCTTCCTGTACTAAGGCTTTGACCCTCAGCTGGGCTAAACTCTGTTCTTGTAAATATCAGCAGGGTTCATGGGAATTTCTATTTTTTTTTTTTTGCAGCCAATTTTAAGGCCTTAATTATCAACACCATTTTTGAAATTTTATCAGTTGAGCAGATGTGGGGGTTTCTGCAGTTCAATCCAATCAATTCTTTCAATTTTTGAAAAAAAAAACATGTTGATCAACAGCTTACAATGGGCTTTCAAATTTGATATATTTCAATCCTGAACCTATTATCACCTTATAGCTCTGCAATTTCCGGCTACTTTTTTTTGGTCCTGGCTTCAAGCTGTGTTGTTACCGAGCGGAGAAGCAATAAGTAATCTAACGAAAGAAAAAGAAAGAAAGAAAAAGTGTGCAGGACACCTGTCCTGCACACCAGCCGGCTCGATCCCAGCTCGTCCGGAAGGGCTCCTCCCGGCGAGCCGGTTTTGTAACCAGCTCGTTGGAAGGAATCCCTTCCGACAATCTGGTCTGTAAATCGACTCGTTGGGAGGAACCCCTCCCGACGAGTTGATTAAACCAGCTCGTCAGGAGGGGTTCCTCCCGCGAAGAGTTGTATACAGCTGGTTTGAAGGTCTAAACCAGCTTGTCGGGAGGAACCCCTCCCGACAAGATGGTATACAGATCAGCTTGTCGGAAGGGATTCCTTCCAACAGGCTGGTTTGAAAACCGGTTCGCCTGTTGATCCATGTAAGGTCTCAAGGCCGGGAGGAGCCCCTCCCGGCCTCAAGACTTTATGACTGTTTGCGGGTTTTTGACACAAAGTCCCTGCGGTACCCGCCCAAAGTACCGCCGGTACCCGCCATATGCCAGCGGGTGCGGTACCTGGTGCCATTTCTTGGCTAAAAAAGCATCCGGTACCCGGGTCCCGTGGGGCCATCTTTACTTATCCCCACAGATTCTCAACACCTGTGGTATCAAATTCAAAGCCTCAATTTTCTCTCTTTTTTTTTGGTGCCAAGCACCTATCTTTCCTCCTTCATGCATCCCCCCCCTTCACCCTTTGATTTTTTTTTGTGTTTGACCAGAGGGATGTGTGTGCATTCCCAAAATTCCCACGCGGATCCAATTGATGATGAGGTGAACTGGGTGAGAAAATGAGATAGTGGATAGTGGAAAGGATGATTAGCATTAGCATTGATTGAGCAATGATAATCAGACTTGACAGATAACCAAAGAAAGAAAGAAAATGAAACAGATTAAAGAGAGATGGACTTACTTGGGTCAAAAAATGGGATAGTGGAAAAGATGAGAAAAGAGGATCCTTCCACACCGGCCCAGTTCTACTACAGTATATGGCAGGTATGTATGTAGCATACAAACTGAAGAGGAGAGGAAAGGAAAATAACAACTCAACAATGAAATACAGAATTTGATCTTCCATCCACCCCAGCTTCTGGACGAGGGCAGCGCTCTTCTCCTGAAAGTGTAGGTAGGGAGAAATTGATACTAAATTGAACATGAGATGCTCAGCTACAAGCTGCTCTTCACCTTGGCCTCTCATGATGAGTGTGCGTGCATCTTGTAATCTTACTTTTTATCACAATATTCTTCAAAAGCCACAAATATTTTTGAAGCTCTCAAGCAGGGAAGCCATGATAACTCATCAGCCTCCCATTGGGAATGAGAGAGCTTTGCATTGGGGTGCTCTGCACCCCCAGTCATGGGAGGCTTAGTTAAGTCAGCTTGAGTGTGTTTCTGTTAATTAGGTCTGATTGTTATGCATTTGTTGTTTATTTTTTTTTCTTCCTACACTAGGGCTTTGCTCAGCTGGGTTGAACTCTGTTCTTGAAAATATTAACAGGGTTCATGAAAATTTGCAGCCAATTTTAAGGCCTTTATCAACACCATTTTTGAAAATTTATCAGTTGGACACATTTGGGGGATTCTGATCAATCATTATCCAAACAAATTTTTCATTTTTTTTTTAAAAATGATCAACAGCTTACAATAGACTTTAAAATTTGATAAATTCCAATCCTGAACCTATTACCTTACAGCTCTGCAATTTCCGGCTACTTTTATTTTTGGTCCTGGCTTCATGCTGTGTTGTTGCCGGGCGGAGAAGCAATAAGTAATCTAACGGAAAAGCAGTGAGCTCTGCATATTGACCTCCAATTTCATTGCTTCTTACTTTATCCTTGTTGGTCTCAGTGATACTAATAGATTAGAGAGCACAGCCGGAACATCTATTCGTCAATCCAAGTCGCGAGGAGACATCTGGCCCCTGTTTTGGCAGGCGAAGTCGGTTGAACTGATCTGATTCGTGATAATCACTACTAGCACATGCTTTCCAGGGCCCCGAACCAGTGAGAAGAACACGCATCCCGACGGTCCTTGTGCTTGTCAAATTGTCAATCCCCCAACCAACAACACGAACGTTGAGCCTCGTAAGCATAAAGACGTACCTTTCAAGTTTCTCCGTGCGGCGGTTGGCCTGTTAAATGGTTCTGACGGTGGATTTTCGGCTTTAAAGTGCAACTTGCCCAGGAGATCTGGTGACTCTCTACCACGTATTTAGGTCTATTTAGGTCTTTTTGCTGTCGCAATAATGATCATTAGGTATTTTGCTCTAGTCCAACAGGCAATCAGGTTAGACCAGGGTAAGCTGCCTCTCAGTTGGATTCTATACATAGAGACACGCACTTTTCAGTTAGAAAAGGAGTTGTTTCTTATCTGGGAGCGGGCAAAGTGTAGTCATCATAGCCTACCGGCGAAATACATACGTGAAAGCATATCAGATTCCATGGTGATGTGACCTTTCTTCAGGTCCAGAGGATTTACTCCACCATCGAACACTTTCATGCAGGTCAAAATGGGGATATCAAGCATCTTAACTCCAGGAGATAGGCTGGATTGCCATACATCCATGGGCTTTCATGGGTTTACTCTGTTCACTCTAGGGGATGACTCCGCAGCCGAGTAAGTGCAAGCATATTTGTAACCACGGTCACGCAAGCATCTGTGTCGCGATTCGCGCCATCGGATCGATGAGAACCGGGCCTCCGGGAACAGCTGTATTCTGTGGGGTATACAAACCTGGGTCAATCAGCTGTGCGATGCTGTGACCAAAAAATCTGAGTTTCTCAATATGTATGCACGCAGTTAAAGCCTTCTATCAACATTCATTCGACAAGCATGAATATGTGACAAGGTTCAGTACTCTACCAGTCTCGAATTGTGTCCCTATTTGAAATTTTACTTCAATAAGCAGAGGGAGAGTGAGTACGAATAATTTTTATTCACCTATCACCATTTTAAAATAACATCAAGCCTTCAATTAGCCTGGAGAGCACCTTAGCCGAGACCGTTTGAAACAGTTTATTTTCTTCAGACTTGAAACCCGACGAGATGAAGGTGATAAGGAGCGCGATTTCGTTGTACCTTTTGGCTTATCTGAATAGCATTAATCGTGTTAAAGCAGACACGGCCTCCCTGCGTCAGAAATTCTCTGCGTTGAAAATTGATGCCGTTTTCCCTCAAGATCCGAATTACGAAAAGTTTTCTGCCTCATACAACAGAAGATTTACTTACAGGCCGGCAGCCATAGTTTTCCCTAATAACACAGAAGCAGTCGCCAATGCTGTCAAAATTGGAGTAGCTGAAAAAATACCCAGTAAAGTTGATTCACATCATTTTATATTACTTTATTTTTCCAAGTTTGGTACTGATTCTGAGGCTCTTCTTTGACTATGTACAGTATCTCCTCGTGCAGGTGGACATTCATACGCTGCTTATGGTTTGGGCGCAAAGAACGGCGTTTTGGTCATCGATCTCGGACGAATCAATCACATTTCTGTCGACAAGACTAGCGGGGAAGCTATGATTGGTGCCGGAAGTAGGCTTGGAGATATGGCTCTCAGCTTATACAACCAAGGTGGACGAGCCATACCGCATGGAACGTGTCCCTTTGTTGGACTGGGTGGTCATGCCGCTTTCGGAGGGTGAGCCGTTGATAGAAGGTTTTCCAGAAAATCGAAGGAGGAAAGCAGGTTTTTGACGGGTGCACTTCCCAGCTATGGCTTCACCAGCCGACTGTGGGGTTTGACCTTGGATCATATCATTGCGCATGAAGTCGTTTTAACAAATGGATCGATCGTGACTGCCTCCTCGAAGACCAATCCCAACCTCTTTTGGGTGCGTTACCCTATGCGTAGAAAGACAAACGAAGATGTAACTGACATTATTCCATCTCTGTCCATCCAAGGCTTTGAGGGGTGCGGGGTCATCGTTCGGGATCATGACCGCGATGAGGTTCAGAACTCAATCTGCCCCCAACCAGGCCACAAACTTTGTCTATGAATGGCAACTGGGTGAAGGAGAATTTGCCAACGCATTAATCAAGTTGCAAAGCTTTTGCATGTCCGACCTGCCAGCCCAAATTGGTATAGAATCCAATTTGGGCAAAGGTGATCAAGATGGTAAGTTATACATGGATTTGACCGGAGTTTGGTATGGAGCGCCAAATGGCCTCACCAGTGTCATTCAACCTTTCCTATCCCAGATGGTGAGCCGAGGTATTAAGGGGATTGAAAGTCTGCTTAATTGATCTAACACGATGAAGAACTTGTTTGATCCAGCCCACTCCTACCAAAAAGTCAGTTAAAACAAGAAGCTGGATCGCCAGCCTGGAAGTGTCAGCCCAGGGCCAACCGTTATCTACTTCAGGCATGCCTCCAGGAGATTTTCATTGGGATTGAATGTATTGATTCATTTCTAAATCCATGGCTGTTTTAATGTTGTTTGCTTATGCGTGTAGGTGTCGACCTCGGAAAAGAACATGACACGTTCTATGCCAAAAGTCTAACAACCCCTCAATCGATACCCATGTCCAATTCATCAATCATCGCCTTTTCGAAGTACCTGATCAACCAAGGACTGAAATCAGAAACTGTAAGAAACTCCTGCTTGCGCACATCATAAAATTAGCCAGAGCTGAATGATTGGCACAAAATGTTCAGGACTGGTTTGTACAGTTGGAACTTTATGGCGGTAAAAACTCTGGTGTGACTGCTGTTGGAGCAGACGAAACTGCTTTTGCCCAGCGCTCAATCTTATTCACCATCCAGGTGAGTCGGGCTCCTGTTGAGTAAAGCTTGACCTGTGAATGGTTACTCATTTTCTAACCACGATCCCATCCTCCCCGACTATCAAGTTTTACGCCTCGACCAGTAGTACTAATCCACCGTTCCCCGCAGAGGGTTTCACACTGCTGGACAACATGGTGGATAGCATTGTGAACAACAATCCCTCGGGTTGGAATTACGGGTAAGTACTGTCATTCGGAGTTCTCCGGTGGATTCAGTCAAGCTTTTGCTCACGTTTTACCTGCAGGGCTTATGCCAATTATGTCGATGATCGTCTTTCTTCTTCGCAATGGAAGTCACTGTATTACAAAAAACAGTTAAGTAACTTATATACCTCATTCTTGAATCAGTGAACCTTTTGACATGGCGCTTATTTGGAAATATGTGATGGTAAACGATTAGCTATCAACGCCTAACTCAAATTAAACAAGCTTATGATCCTCAAAATGTTTTTGCTTTCCCTCAAAGTATCTCAGAGTAAGTGCGTCTGATTGATCGAAATAGTTCATCATATGCTTGCTTATCAATTCACCGCATCGTATCCCTTTTCCAAAACACGCACAGACCAACCCAATAAAAGGAAAAGGGAGTTGCAAATGTTGTACGGTTCATAGGGAGAAGTATGTTTTAACAGGCCATAACTCCTGAATATTTCGAAAACTTGTACAGGTTAATATAAATGGAACTTTGGCAGAAAATTTTGTCTCAAAAAATGATGTATTTCTTAAATTCAGCACCCTATTCACTGGGATTATAAATAAACCACTTGAATTCATGACTTCTTCCCTGCCCACTTACGAAAATCGCACAATTCTCTTTGTTTTAGAATTTAGTACTTGGAAAACAGACATCTACTTTAGTGCAGTTTCCCGGAACTTGAGAGCCCCACCCAGGCTACTGGCAAATGCTGCAGATCTCCATACGATCACTAAAATTTGTTTGTTTTTGGAGAAATGTCTTGATTGAAATGGGTCGTCTTTTCCTGCCCTAAGTTCGCGACAAGAAAACTTGACTGGATTTGAATTTTCTTGTGTTCTTCGTCATGAGTCCTCATAACGGCTTAATTCGGTTAAGATGTTCCCAGCGCAAGGCATTCGTTGTTACTCGCAGATTCAAATGTGTGTTTTGATCATAGCTTTGAATTCCCCCAAGCAAGGCCTACAAGAAAATGCCCCAAAATAAAGAATTTGGCATTACATATCAGTTGATCATCGTGACACGTGATGTCATTCACGATTCCATCCACCAAGAAAACAACAGCTGAACGGCGTACCCAGGTTGTGGCACTGCCTACCCGTGGCGATGGTGGAGCAATGCCGACTCGACCTTTCACTGCCTCATTGCCAGTGACTTCGGCATCCGATTCCGAGGCCACTGATAGAAGTGGACCTCGGTTCGAACTTCGTGTTTGTTGAACAACTTCACTAATCGGGTTTTGTCGGTCCGGTCTCCAAGCGACTCCGAACTTCCAGGCTCAAGCGCAGCGAGGGCGCTCAAAAGGAAATGGGATCCGTGAGACACTCGAGTGTTTTAGTATCAATCATGCCCAGTCTGTTCCTCATGTGAATTTATCTACACAATTAGGCAGTACAACATGCACCTTGCCCACGATGAGTTTTACGAGGGGTGGCTCGTTGGTTGCCGGTGTCTTCTTAAATGTAGGCAGTCTCGGTAGGTTACGAGTATACTTACTCCCATTTCCTGCTCTCCATTTTTCAATCTCCAAGATACAGGCGGTTAACCCCTTACAAATTTCAATGTTGGAATCTATCGACAGTTCAATTCGGGCCACAAATCTGAATGGAAGGCGAGCGAGGCGAGCGCTGATGGTGGCTATCACGGCGTGTGTTTTTGCGGTTCATCTAGGTGGCTTTTTCGTGACAGCAGACACAGCCTCCCTGCGTTCCAAGCTCTCCGGTCTAGGGATTGATGCCGTCTTTCCTGGCGATCAAAATTATGAGAAGTTTTCGAATTCCTTTAACAGAAGATTGTCCTACAAGCCGGCAGCTATCGTATTTCCTAACAACACCAACGCGGTGGCAAGTGCAGTGAAACTGGGTGTTGAAGAGAAGTTACCTCGTAAGTTTGCAACCATCATATGGATTATCGATTTATTTTCAATTTGCCCGGTTGATATTTATTCTTTCAAGACTTCTCTGTGTTATGCAACCAGTCTCCCCTCGCTCTGGTGGCCATTCGTACGCTGCCTATGGTTTAGGCGGAACAGATGGAACTCTGGTCATTGATCTCCAACGAATCAACTCGATTTCTGTTGATGGTTCCACCGGGGAAGCCGTGATTGGTGCTGGGATTAGACTCGGGGACATTGCTGTTGCTTTGAATGCTCAGGGTGGTAGAGCTTTGCCGCATGGACTGTGTCCTTACGTTGGTTTAGGTGGTCATGCCGCATTTGGAGGGTAAGTACTCACATGAAAGGTGCCCCTCAATGAAAGAAGCAGGAAAAGACAATCACCAAACAGAGTACTTCTGACAAAAATCCATTCAACACTTTCTAGCTACGGGTTCACTAGTCGACAGTGGGGCTTAACATTAGATAGAATTGTTAGCCACGAGGTTGTTTTGGCAGATGGTTCCATAGTCACTACTTCAAACACTGCCCACCCTGATCTTTTTTGGGTAAGTATTCCCATCGACACGAGTTTCTCAAGTCTAGCCTACTAACGTTCGTGTGCGGTTTATTGAACAACCGAAGGCTCTTAGAGGTGCCGGGGGGTCCTACGGAATCATGACCGCGATTCGTTTCCGAACCGAGCCGGCTCCCAAGGAAGCTACCAACTTTGGTATCCGATGGAATATGAACGAGGAAGATTTTGCTCAGACTTTGATTAAGTTTCAAACGTTTTGTATGTCAGACGTACCTGCTCAACTCGGCATAACTGTCAACCTTCGAAAGAGCAAACAAAGTGGCAAGTTGCTCTTCGACTTTGCCGGAGCTTGGTATGGCGAGGGCAGCGCATTCGCTGGTGCGGTCCAACCGTTCTTGTCCCAGATGGTAAGCTGAAGATTTATCAAGCAGGGGCTCTGGATTCGCTATTTTAACGCGATCGATCACTCTTTGGTTTAGCCTGCTCCCACCGCTACCTCAGCGAAGACGACGGATTGGATCACCGGCTTATCATCAATAATTGGCGACGCGACTCTCTCCACAGCAAGTAAGTTGAGATTTCATTATTTTGGATATCAGAGTGAATGCATCCTAACTGCATCTTGAATATTCTACACAGATGTGGACCTCACAGAAGAATACGACACGTTCTACGCTAAGAGTTTAACAACCCCTCAATCTACCCCGCTATCCAACTCGTCTATGGCTGCCTTTGCCAAAGTGCTGGCCAATCAGGGACTCCAATCAAGCACTGTAAGGGGCCCAGTCTGTACGCCAACTAGAAAACGACATGAGCTTGTATACTAACGCCAAGTATGGTAGGACTGGTTCGTGCAATTTGAGCTTTATGGTGGTAAAAATTCCGCGGTGACTGCCGTGGGAGCAGACGAAACGGCTTTTGCCCAGCGGTCAATCTTATTCACCATCCAAGTAAGTCGATTTTGTACTGTAAAAATCCCAATCAGTGAAATTTCGTTCATTTTGCAGTCACCACTCCACCCTCACAAACAAGTTTTACGCCCGGTCCAGTAATAAATCGCCACCTTATCCCACAGAGGGGTTTACTCTGTTGGACAACATGGTGGATAGCCTTGTGATTAACAATCCTTCAGGGTGGAATTACGGGTGAGTGAAGCTCTAGCAAGTTCTCCGATTGGAGGTATGTTGTTGCTGACTACCTCTCCATAGGGCCTATGCCAATTATGTTGATGAGCGTCTCTCTCTCTCACAATGGCCCGAATCAGTATTACAAAAGACTCAGTTCAGTATTCCCTGTGATAATTATTGATCGGTTTGACTCTTTCACCACAATTGCTGACTTTGCAATGCCATTGTTCAAAACTTCAACCCTTTATTAGCTTATGAACCGTCTGACTCAAATCAAAGGGGTTTATGGATCCACAGATTGTTTTTTTCTAACCCCCCAAGGCATCACCACCGTAGGCAATCAAGTAAGCTAACAATCTATTTTCATCGAGCACTCTGCTATGATATTGCTAGCTATATTATTACAAATAAACACTTGCACATAGCAAACGAAAACTGCCCAGAACGTCACTACTACGTCTAGCCAAATGATTCAATTCATAATAACAACAAAAAACCACCCCAAGACGTTACTACTCCATCTAGACCCAATGATTCAACCAAGCACAAGTACATGTTTGGAGAGTCAATCTATTTATCCTCCTTTCTGATCTTCTATCTGCTATAATCATAGCAGTAGTTTGAATATAATTTGTTTGTGTTTGGACATTGGGTTATTTTGTACCAGATGTATTTTTATAATTTTTAGCATGCTTGCAGATCAATTCCAGAGAAGAGAGACCTGATACCATATATTGCACTCTAATCCGTGGAGGTTTATCTACTTCAAAATCTGCCACATTACCTACCTGTGGTAATGATAGTGATATACTGTAAAATAAATGGATTACTTGTCAATTCAAAGGATACTGAATAAGCAGTTGTAAAGGGTATGTGTTCTGAGACTCCAACCTGAAACCTCATTGCTAATGAGCTCAAACTAACTCTATCCAATGAATTTCACACAAGCACATGTGACATTGCATTACAAAGTGACTGAACTGTGAAAGAAGGAAGATTACTGGTTTCCTGCATGCATTCCTACGTGACTGAAACAAGAAATATCAACTGTTTTAATGCACATTCTATGAATGAATGAGTAGGAATTCCTTGATCTTGAAGGAATTCATGTTCATTGTTGATTCACCTGGAATCTCATATGGATGTGTGATTGGGTCATTATCAATCAGTGCCTGATTTTTACACACTTCAGCAAAGGATTTTGATCAATATTTTAGATCAAAAGGCCCAAGGGGCCTCATTTTTAGGAATCTATTACTTTAACAATTATTTTATCCCTGGAAAAGTGAAAGCTGCTACTCCAAGTTGAATCAAATATCATAATTTTGGATTGTCATGAGCCTTGTTTGCAAGGTCCTTGTGGAGCAAACCATCTTTTCAAGCTATGTACCTATGCCCATAATAGAGCCTCAACTCTATTGAAGTATCAGATGGAGTCTGTTCACCGGTTGAATCACTGCTGCTCCAAGGACACTTTCACTCCCATTAGATTTGTTTGGTTTCTTCTTTTTAAGTCAGGATGGTTGGATGACATTGAGTTCTTCTTCTTCCAAGAACTAGCAGGAGTTTTGCTGGCAAGTTGAACAATCTTGTTGAATTACTTCATAATATTTTTAAGAACTCTGAGGTTCTTTTCTGAGACTTGAGTTGGAGCATTTTCCTTTGAGCTGAGGATCAAATTAAACAAGAGCTTCTTGTCAACAAGGTTCCCATTGTTATCAATCCATTTGCCCTCCTCATCTGTGTGAGGAATATTCCTATGGATTTTATCAAGAATAGTTTCCTTTTTCCAGCTAATTTCTTTTTCCAACAAGGCGTACAACTTCTCAATAAGATCTATCTCGAGTTGTTCTAGGAGCTCAAAAGCCTTGAGATCAGAAGGGATACATTGTTTTGTGGAAAAATAGGCCAGGTTACCCGTTTGAGTCATGAAGATTGGAAAAGATGAATGATCATCAAGCAAAAGAAACAACATTGTTGCAGGGTTTGCTTGTTATGAGGTATGTACAGCGCATGTACCATTTGGTGGGACTTCATTTTTTTTGTTCCGGAAACATATGGAAAATCATGGGTTTCAAGAGGCAAAAACCTTGCTTTGTGACCAAAAGGCATATGGGTTACGGCAGTAGACAGGTTTAAGGGTCTAGCCCCTTATTTTGGCTGTGCCCAAATTGGGAAACCCAATTTCCAATGGGTCTAAGAGCATCTCCAGCAGAGCCGGGGTTGGTTTCTGCCCAAACAGCGGTCTGCAACCGCATTTCACACCCCTGTCTCACATCTGTCACACTGCTCCCACAGCAGACTGGCAATAGAGAGCAGGGGGCGGTTGGCCAAGTCGCTAAGCTTTGGTAGACAACTAGCAACTGCTTTGGGGGAGGTGTAGCTAGGTGTTGAAGTGGTGGATCAAGTAACATGGTGGGTGTTGTGTGGGTGTGTTGTGAGAAAAACACCAAGGAGCGAGTAGCTGGTCTCTGCCATGGCGGCTATTGCCTTGGGTTTATAGCTGGGGGCGAGGTGGGGGGCGATCAGTTGCGGGTCTAGTTGCGGCTCTGCTGGACCCCGAAATTCACCCGCGAGCCGCTGATTTGGGCTGAAAATTGCCCAGTCGCGGCTCTGCTGGAGATGCTCTAAGGGGGTTATGGGTTTCTACAGGTATGGCTTAGGACAGTTTCTACTGTATCAAGCTTATCAAGCCTTTCTCCAGCAGTTCCCAGAAAGCTTGCTGTTGCGAGCTCCCTAACTAAGTCTCTCCTGGCAGTTGATCCGATGGCTTGCCAGAGGGACTTACGGGCTATGTCGACCCTGCGGCTCATGAGAATTAAGCATTTGGCTGGGCAATATTTCAAAACTCATCTCACCAATGCATTTCTGGATGTTTTTGGGGCTTGTTTTGATTTTTGTGATG